ACAATTATGATAAATTTTCAATAAATCCAAAAAAAATTTATTCATAAAGAAATGAAACTTAAGAAGTATTTTCATCATAATTTTCTAAGCAAAATATTTGAACTTCGTTGTATTTGTTGACCTTGTAAGGTAAATATTACAAATTAAACAATGTGCTCAATCTGATTCAAGTAACGCTCGTTATTCAATCTTGTCTCATTTTTCATACAAAAAATACTAAATGCATTTATCAGTTTTGTAAACGAATTTTTTTGAGACTTAAAACTAAATATTATTTTCAAATTGTTACTAATTCATTTGATTATAATTTTGCGAAAAAATTTGCAAATTATTTGCTTTTTAGAACCAGAATAACAAATTTTATGAATATGCATGCAATTTTTCCATGCAAAATTTTTAACTAAAAGAATACTTTTATTCGAATTATTCTTCAGTTGAGATTAATTGCTTGATAAAAATGCAGAAAATGCATATATCTGTCATAATTATTTTGGTGACTATTTAAGAATAAAAAATATTTTACAAAATTAAATAAAAATTTGCATCCAATTTTAACTGAAATACAATTTTAGAAATTTAACTAACAATTATTTGAATTATGCAGTAAAATTTGTTTAAAAAAATTTTTGTCACAAATAAAATACATAAATTCTAATATAATTTTTAAAATGGCTGTAAATAACAATACTGTGCAATAAATTAATAATCTTCATCACTTATCGCATTTAATATCAGCATTTTTGCATAAAAATTGCTTACCTTTTGCAATTAATCATGTTTTTCAAGTGTTTTATAAAAAATTTTTTTTGAAAATTCAAAAAAATATTGCTGATTATAGTTATTAATTTACTGCAATATTTTTCAAGTTATTAATTATAGTTTATGCCCAATTGTTAATTTTTTTTGAACTTTTAATTGTAGTTATTAAGTTGTTATTATTGTTATTTAAGCTAGTTTGAAATTTCTTCAATTTAAAGGAAGTTATTAATAAAAATAAACTATCTTGCACAGCAGTTTTTCAGCGAAAAAATTAATAATTAAATGCAAAAATTAAATAAATGATAGGAATTAAATTAAAAAATCGTAGTTAACATCGTAGTTACATTAGTTAACATAACTTAAATTCCAATTATTTTATTAGTAAGATAAGTGAAAGTACTTTAAAAATATATCCTTTCAACGTTATTATCTCAGACGATTGATGCAGACAGACTTTCGCTGATATACTTTACAGAATTTCGAATTATTTGCATATCCAACAAGAGCAACAGCAGCAGCACCAGTATTACTACTACCATCTTACAATTACTCTTGCTCAAACTCATTCCAAACAATGTACAACAATCCATCTTGCTACGTACAGTCGTCAAGTACTGTTACTGTTCCACCTACCTTAGCTACATCTATCCCCACCACTACAGCTTACATAAATTCCGATTACTTCACTTATATTCCACATTATTTCAATGGTATTCTTTTCATTTAAAATTGAAATTTTATTGATTTAATAGGGAAAATTAACAATTGATTATTATAAATTAAAATTTATAATGTTTTTTTGAACAAAAATATTATCTAACATAAAGAAAATAAAGTGAACACATGAGAGATAGCATTCATACTTTAACAAGAACTGGCTTTTCGTTTTTTCCGTAATCTTAACTAGTAAGTCTTATTTCCACTCTTATAATTATTGTTGTTATTTCCGTTTCTGAATACTTATTCCAATTTTTATTTTATCAGACTACGCTGTAATGAGTGCATACTATGGTGGTACTGGTATTAGTACATTTCCGAGTCAAAGTTCAGCATACCGAAGTTATTTATTGCCCAACGACAAACTTTCACTTTCGCGACCCTCCAGGTCTTTTTTGATAAATCTTTTGGAAAAATTAACGTTCAATAGTATTCACAATAACTGCTTTCTTAATCTTTATTTTTTCTGTTTGAAAAACGCACCAATTTTTAATAATTTTTTTAATTACTGACCTCAATTCCATGCTCATTTAAATATTACAAATAAATATTAATACTTTTTAAAATTTTTAATAACGGTTTGAACTTGTTTATAGTACATTTAGAACAGTACCATCACGAGTAATACCAGCAAAAACCTATAAGACACTATACACTAGACGAGATAGAGGTCAAACTGCTGAACCATACTTCTTTGATCCACGAAGATATAGGTCAGTTTCTTTAAACAAAGCTAATTAATATTTTTTTCTGAGATTAAAAGCAATATTTTCAAATTTCAAACTGTTGAAAGGAATTCACCGCAGTGTCTTCCTGAATACTAAGACTTAATATTTAAACGGTAGCAAAAAACATTGATAGCTTGTAACAAAATATCATTATATATTATTATCAGTGATACTGTTAACACGTTAAGAATACATTGGCAGCTTAATGATAATAATGGAAACTTTTTTATCGTCGGTTTTTATTATCAAACCAAAGACTTTCATTATTGAATATAAATGGCATTTTTTAAATCATTTAAAGGATTTGAATGAAAGATTCGTAAACTGCAAGTTCAAATATAATATGCTTTACATTTAATCACAAAATTCACTGATTACAATTAATTGTAAAATCAGTGCAGCAGCGATAAGCTAGGAAGAAGCGATGATAAAATGATGTGATAAACGATTTGATATCCGTTCGGTAGTTATTTTTAGGAGTGGTTCAGGTCCTTGGAAAGATACTAGAAATTGGCCAATGTATTGGAAAAAGCGAAAATTCACTCAACCCATACAAACATATCAAGTAAAAATTTGATATTTGTACCTACAATAACAGATAATTGGAACATTTTTTTACAGGAATCAGAATTCGGTGGTAATCCAATTGATCGAATACCTCATAACTATTTTGGATATTACACAAGTATGAAACTATCAGACATTATTTATAATGCAATCTGACGTAATTTGACTTAAAATATTTGCAGCGCCATCAGATATGCAACATACAGTAATGAGACGAGTTCGACCGTACTATGCGCCAAGTTACATTACTTATCCTCCAAGTATCATGAATCCAAATAGATCAAGCAAAGTTGTAGATGAAAAATATCCATTAATTATGAGAGTAATTATCAAAATCATTGAATTGGTAAGAAATTATTAGTAATTTTCGTGATGTTTCAACTTTTTGATACTATAATATGACATTCTTATTTTTTGATTCCAAATAAATCAGTCAAATAGTTTGTTTTCATGATTATTTGGAATTAGTTTTGCAACTGATTCCAACTGATCATAAAAACGAAAGCTCCAGTTTGAAAATTTAGCATAAAACTGTATTGAAAACGAACATTTTTAGGTCATTTAAAAAGCTTTTGAGCAAATATTAAGTATGAATCAATTCATTACTGATTGCATATCATATCAAAAAGCATAAACAGCTTTCTTTAATTTCGATCAACTTTTTGCCACGTTTGACATCAATGCGAATTCGTAAGGATTAAAAATAAGTAAAATAGTCATTTGTTTTTTATATTTTATTTTTGAATATAAAACTAATTTCAACTAACCTCAGAGATTTCAGATGCTGGGTGCGAGTACAACAGCATTTGTACTTGCTCCGATACGTGATTTATCTTTCTTTGAATTCGTGAAAATAACGCAAACTGAATGGCAAGGTATAGTGGTTGGTGTTGGGGTCACGTTTTCCGTATTATGCATTATTTTACTTACAACTGCTTCTCTTGCTCAACGATCATCACTTTGGCGAAGATTTGTTAGTTTTCGTCAGAATAAATTGCAGAATTTTTTAGTTAGAAAATAAAATCAAATATTTCTTTCCAGCAATAATTTTTTCGTTTATTTTGAAGGTATTAAATGCGACTTTATTTTTTGAACCACTGAAACTGTTGAAAAGAGTGTTAATTGGTTTATTTTCTGTACCGCTAAAATTACCATTCATTTACCATTATTCTTTTTAAATTTCGATTCCAACTTAATTAATTTAATTAGTTAGTATTTCTTTATTATTGCATTTTTAAAAACTTTTCCCAATTTTTAACAATATGCATGTAGCACATTATGCATAAATATTTCAACTATTAAAAGTTTTCAACAAAAATGTTCGCGTAGCTTTGCTTATCACTTGCAAAACATTATCAAATCATAGATTAGCTACTAAATCGATCACATATTTTAGTTTGTAATTTTAACGCTAAAAATCTTTTCAAAAATATTTGCAGTCTATTTTCAAAAGACTTCATATTAAACCAATAAATTTTAAATATTTGTTGATAATTTGTTTAGTTAAATTCTTTGCATATTTTAACATATTAATATTTTGCAATTTTCTTTAAAAAATTCATAATAATTGTTTATGTTTATAATTGGTGAAAGTAACTTAATAATTTTTCGATTTTATCAATTTTCAGATTATTTTATAATTTAGTGTTATTATTTGAATTAATAAATATGCATATTTTAGGATGGTATGATAAGTCTAGGTGGTACTATATGTTACTTTTTGGCAGGAGGTATTGAAGCATATTATGCAGCATGTTATCCTCCTCGTGGTGCAATAATTGGATTAGTATGTTACAGGTTTGAATGGATTTTCGCAAGTGTAAGTTATTCTGACTTAGTATCAAAATGATTTATTCATTAAAATCACTTTTATAATTTTAACTATAATATAATTAAATTGTTTTACTTTCTTAGTATTTATTTGTTTATCTTTGAAAAGCAATTACAATAATTTACATCTAAGCCATTTCACAAATTTTTTGAAAAAAATTCATAATAATTGTTTATGTTTATAATTTTTAAAGATAACTTACTAATTTTACATTAAATACAATTACTTCACTTAGTCATATTTATGAAGAAAAAAGAAGCATTAAAAATTTTTCATATTTATATTATATGCAAATTATTAATTAATAATAGTAGTTGTAGGCTCTAATATTCGTCAATGTTATTGTGTATATTGTGGATTGTGTGCTATCATTCCGAATAGGAACTAAAATGCTGTGATATTTTCTCTTTTTATTTTACAAATTTTTACTTATTTATTATAAAACTTTTTTAAAGTAACTGTTTACTCTCAATGATTGTTTAATTGCAATGACATAGCACTGTGATTATATTCTTATTTGCTTTAAGTTCTGATATGCTTTAGTGTCATTGTTGAGTAAAGCAGTTACACAATATATTGTCAACAAGTTTTTATCCATTACATGAAATAAAAAATATTAAAGTAAACATAATTATTTATTCGATTTTTGTTTTTCAAATTTTAAAAATTTAAATTTTATTCATTGAAGTCCAGTTTTATACGCAAAAGTTGATCACATTTCTTAAACATGCTAAAATTTACTGAAACAAAGCAATAATTTAATCAAATAATTTAGTGATTAAATTGTAAATTAAAAAGTAGCTTACTTTTTTCAATGCATTTAATTAATAATAGCAATTTTTTGCCAAAAAAATAAAATAAAACAAAAGAGAGGACGAAGTGATCTCAAGAAACAATTAAGATCGCTTATTTATCAAATATTTTATTAGTAAAACACTGCTTATTGCTCATTTCAATAATTGAAAGCGGAATTTTAGTAAATACTGAAATAAAATGCGGTAGACATAAATAAGCTTCTGTAAACACGAGAACAGACACTCATTTTAGAGTAAAATTTTACACTGATAAGTGCCAAAATTTAATAATTCGACGTGGAGTTAAAGTTAGCAAAATTAAGCAAATTAGCACAAAGTAAAAAACAACAAACTTAATAACAAAATAGTAAACTAAATAAGTAAACAATTATTTACATACTAATGCAATATTTACATGGAAATTTGATAAAAATTGTAAGCAGTAATATATGTAAAAGCGTTAGTAGATATGAGCATTAATAAGAGTTTCATATGGTACTAATATTTTCAGGTAGCTTATGGCAGCGGTAGTTTTGTTTGACTCTTTGGTAAATAACATCAATTTGGTATAATTTATATTGAATACTGAAAACTGCAAGTAAAATTATCGCAAATTGAAAAATATCAGATTTTTGCAGATTTTATGAAATCATTAAAAATAATCACTTTATTATTTTACATGGGCAAATTAAGAGAATTAAAATTCAGAAATTACTTTGTAAATGAGAATAAAGTGATGAGTAGTTTATGAGCAGAAGTGTCAGGTGTTACCATTGCACCTCGTCTGCAAATTTTATCCTTCGAAACTAAATATTTGGCAGATTGAACTGAAGAAAGCTCACTTTCTTCTCGACTTTTTCTTCGATAAACAATGAGTGATCAAGAAATCTCAGATGCTTCCATACATAACCGATATTCAAATATTAGCGGTTTGGTTTTCTTCTTTCTGCAGCAATATTCATCTAAAATATATGCATTGCTTTACTTGAACAAAATAAAAATTTGCTTCAGTTTTATTTTCAACTTTATTATTCTCTTATATTTATAATTATTATTTCAATATATGTAATTTGCTGATTGATGTATTTGACACTTACTATTAATTATTATTAATATTACAAAAGTAATAGATTTTTCATCACTTATTGATAAAAATCAGATTCATTTAGAAAATAAAAACTTAAACAATTAAAAATCCAATAATTGAATATTTTTGTACTTTATTTATGCTCACTGATTTTAAATATCAAAAAATTATTTTTAATTTAAATATTTCATCTTTGAACATAAATCGAAAGACTAACACCTATAAATATTGAATCAACAAGAATTTGATTCATAACCGGATAACCTGTAGGATAAACAAATCATCGAATATATGTGTTAAGCTGTGTGTTATCAGTTGGGATAACTGACTCAGAGCCTGACCAATCAGTAATTTCTCTAAATGATAAAGTGCACAAAATATTGTAAAAAACAATCGGTAATAATTTGAAATATTCTTAGAGTCAATGCGATTGTTCACATTAGGGAGTGCAATGAGTCGCTGCCAGCACACTGATTGGGACAGCTGTGAAATGGCACGAATTCAAGAACTTAAAGAAGTAAAAATTCAGTGCGATCAGCAAACTATAATCAAATGCTTGATAAGAATAGCTTATTAGCTGTAGCTTATCAGATATCAAGCATATATCAAAGTGATCTATTAAGGCTCAAATGAATCATAGTTGTGGTAAAAATCATTAGATAATGAAATTATCGTTGGGTAACTTTTCATTTTTAATAATTTAAAAAAAAAGAAAAAGAAGTAATTTGATAAAAAGTAAAAATGATATGAGATAATTTGATGTCCAACCAAAATATTTATCCATACGTTGTTAATATTTAAAGTTTCAGGCGCGACAACGAGCTGCACAAATGGAAAAAACAATGCGCTGGTGGACAGAATGTACAGCATCATGGCGACAAAAATGGAGTGCGGTACGAAACGAACGGAACCGAGCTCGTGAAGAAGGTCAATCTTTACGGATAGCACTCATGGAAGCAAAGGTCAAGCAAGGCTACATAAATCAACAAGAATACTTTAATCTTTCAAAACCACAATGCTACAAATGTTTCAATTACAATACTTATAAAAGTAAAAGTCAATTAGAGCTACAAAAACTAAGCAAAACAACTTGAGAATGTCAATTTTAGATTATCATGTAAGTAATAGCAAGTGTTACAAGTTTATTTGCTGCAAAAACTTTGTTTGTCTCTTAAATTCTTAATAAAAATAAAAGGCACTGAAATTGCATACTCTAATTTGAGCAATATATCCTTTAATATATTCTCTTATCAAGAAAAATAACTCATTTATATAAAGGTGTGCACTTAGATTGAATTTTTATATTCTTTTATGAGCAATTAATTCTTTATGAAATTAATTTCAAATTCTCAATTTCATTATCGGAATGAACTCAACAGATATACAACTTTATATTCCTCAGCATAACTTACAAAAGGTTACTTGTTGTTAGATAATTTTGATTTCAGGAAGAAAACAAAAAATTGCTCAATGCGAAACGGACAGTCGAAGCTGAAAACTCACGCATGAAAGCGCAAATGCACTTACTTCATAAAGAACGAATATCTAACCGAATGGTTTGTGTCTTATTTTTGTATACATTTTGCTTGTTCTTTTCATAAGCAAAATTTTTTGAATTGCAAGTGCAGTAACTGCAGCTTATTACAATATTCCACAACTTAATCGCGCCAGATTTTATTCAAAATATAATTTTTCACGCTTTCATTAATTCTTAATCTAAAATTTAATCATAGCTTTAGCCTATAGAAGTAACGACTTCGCAGCAACAAATGCCAGTGATAATAATGCTCGATGAAGATTGCCAAGCAAGACCTGAATATATGCATGCTTCAACAATCACTGATCAGCCTGTTCGTACTAATCTTTTATTTGATTCTTTTTTCAACATTTTCATTAAGATAATACTTACTCTTTCAAGTAATATTTTTCATAAAAAATGATTATGATTGATACGGTATTAGTTATACTATTGTAATGTTTAATTTTTAAGCATTTTTTGAAAAGTAGCAATCTACGAGAAAGTAAGTGCAGTTAAGCTTGTTACGATATCTCACACGTTTATATTCGCTCTAATGATTTTGTCAAAACTGTTTCGTTGTGCTGAGAATGTCTCATTTTATTACTAAGGTAAGACTACAGCATAAAAACTATTCCTTCAAAAAATAACTTTTTTTTTGACAATTATTTACAATTACTAGAATGAATGAAATGCCCTTGCGCTAATTTATAGCTGGACATATGCTATTCGTTGTGGAGCAGTTTAGATGGATCACATGGAGAATTATTTGAGTATGTAAATTTATTTGCTAATCTGATCCAAAATTTAACTTTCGAATAAAAGATTAGCACTTTCTTACTAGCAAAATTATGCACATTTTAGAAACATGAGAAAGTTAGAAAGCCGATGCAACGAGCTCCGAAATGAATTAATGATGATGGAGGCCAAGTGCGCTGAACTTGAGACTTCAAACATTGCTTCTAAAGAAGAAGTATTATTTCATATTCTCACATTTTTAGCAGTATTTCTGATTCAGACAGGCTGAAGACTGAAGAAGACTACCAAGCAAGATCTGATTGAATAATACACATTTTACTGCTTGAAAGTTGGAAGGAAGAAGTCGACGAATGCTCCTTTCTTTTCCAAATATAATACTTGTATAAATATCAAATAAAATCTCAATAAATATCGCAAGTAGTCTAGATAAATGAATTTAATCAAATTATTAACAAAAACGAACAATTACTTCATTTTCTGTTTTTTAAACTAAAGGTCAATAAAACAATAAATTTCTTAATCTACTGCATGTGATGCAAATCATAATCTGTCTATACAATAAAAGATTTTTAGATAACTTGGTTTTGCAGTAATTTATAGGTTGAAGAGCTAAAACGATATCAAGAGCAATTAACTCTTAATGGCGTCATAAGTTTACCAAAGGATATCAAAGAGATTGAAACGGTCAATTTTAAGCATTTAAACATAGAACTATGAAACTGACTGTGTACATAATTCCATTTATCAAAAAAATATTAATGATTAACTAAGGAAACGCTTACTGATGATTAAGTGCAACTGTATAGCATGGAAATAAGGATAATGTAGAGAAAAATAATAATGCCAAGTAATATTATGATTGATTTGATAGCTTAATATTATAATATTGCAGTTGAGATCTGAGCGTGACGAAGCGCTAAATGAGGTGCAAACGTTAAAAATGGAGAAAGAATTCCTGATGCAACAGTTAAAAATGCTAAAGATCACAGTAGAGGAAGCTGAACCTGAACCACCAGTATCAATTTCATAAATATTTTGCTCAAAATGTATTAAAATAAGTAAATCTCGTCAGTTTAGCAGTATCAGATGTCCTTTTATATGCAAACCAAGTAGAAAAGTTATACACATTGTATTTACTTTCAACAGCAAAAATTCGCCTTAGTATAAATTATTCCTGAAACTTGAAAAATCCATCGAATGCACCAACTCCAACCATTGGTAGGTGACCAAAAGTCATAATGCAAAACAGAATGGATTTGTCCGAATTCCTAGGATCATACGGGAAATTACAATTGAATGTCCCTCTCGTAGTTCTACATATTTTTGCAAAAAGGCAAATAAAACTACGCCAAACATAGTCAAAATATTATTTTAAAACTAAAAAATCATGTGCTGAATCCTTAATTCCAAGAATAAGTGTAACAAAGAAGATAGGAGATGGATTCGAAAAAAGTTTATGAGATGCAATTTTTAATTCCAAATTCTGAATTTTAATGCAATTTTTAATTTCAAACTCAAATTAGAAATCTTCATCATTTCAATGTGATTTACAAAGATGCAACCACTATTATTTATATTTTAATAATTACCAGACATCAAAACCAACGAATTGAAAATAACAATGACTAAGCTCCAAAAGCAAAGGAAACAAAACTGTAAATAGGTAACAATAACCGGATCACGAATTACAAAGAATAATAACCAGAACAAATGAATGTAGTTGTGCTTGAATTCAATTTAAGAAGTGAAAGACTAAGTTTACAATATAATCATTTTTATCAAAAACACGTTCACGCATTTTTAACGAAGTAAAGAAACATGTAAAATAAATAAAAATGTCAAAACTCAACCACTAGTACTAATAAACTTCCAAGAATTACATTATCAACCTCAATCAGTAAATATTGATCAAAATTTGGTGTTTTAACAACATGCATTTAATAAAGAAGAGTTCAAAGTAATTGCATAATATAAATTCCATCTTTCACTTATAAATGAAGCTAAACACAACTTGAATGACAGTTATATGGTAAGAGGCGGAAAAAATTTTTGATCCGATAAAATAAATTTAGAAAAACACATAAACATCTTTGCTGTCCAAATCAAGCAAATTGTAGCTTGATGATATAATGGATGATGTAGGTGATGGCTCCAGGGACAACAGTATTTTTGGCTTTGTCCATAAAGAAAAAATTGCCCGCACCTCATACAGTAACCTCGTATACGTCAGAACATTGCCGTCTGCTAGTAATAAAACACGATGCTTTTCAGGACCACAATGAACCATCATTGCAGGAGTATATTTTTGGCTGCATACCAAATATAACTGAATAAAAATTACATTTCATAATATAAAGGTGAGCAATAATTCATAAAAGACGAACTTTAGATACCAAATAGTAAGAGGTGTAATTCATCACTGAAACATATTTTTGAAAAGAGAAAAATAACGTCTTGACTAAGCAGATAAACCTCAATTTCTGCATTTTTCA